AATATAAGCCCAAACGAAAAAATATAAACAAGTCTAAATTGAAAACAACGTTCAAACCTATGATTGTGTTGGATACAAACCGCAATTTTTATACGTGTGCATGCAAAACAAATTTCTTGGTAGAGGGGTCTAAATACAGCACAAACAACATTTTCCAAAAGACCAAAAAAGTGAAAAAGTATATTTTAACAAAACGCATTTGACTAGCAGGTCGAACAACGGATGTTCTTAAACCCTGCTGACTGCTATTGGCGATTGCCAAATAAACGGATCACCAGATGTAACAAAATGGATCTTAACTAGTAATTTAATACAATAAAGAAAACTATAAACTTGCTGAAAAGATGGTATACCGCAAACAAAAGGTGCAAACATTAGTACACCATATCCGGATTTCGACAATTAATGTCTCTTCAGTGATGTTAGGAATTGAAACGGTATTTGGAAGGCCATATAATTTACCTCAATTTAGGATATATATATATTTATATATATTTATAACTACTCCAAATAACAGCACAACAATATTAAATCTGCCAAATTTTTGTTCTTCCCTCGTATATACCGAGTATGCAACACCAGTTTTTTGAGGGTTTAATAACTACCTTTGTTGGACCTGCTAGTCAAAGTTGTTTGTGTTGTATTTAGACCCCTATATCAAGAAATTTGTTTTGCATGCACATGTATAAAAATTACGGTTTTTATCCAACGCAATCATAGGTTTGAACGTTGTTTTCAATTAAGACTTGTTTATATTTTTTCGTTTGGGCTTGTATTATATTTGCCTACGGGTTTATATGATCCGTTCATCCTATTACGACTCTTCAAAATTCAAGAGTCTAGCCTAAATTGTGGTAAATTATATGGCCTTCCACATACCGTTTTGATTCCTGACATCACTTAAGAGACATTAATTGTCGAAATCCGGATATGGTGTACTAATTTTTGCACCTTTTGTTTGCGGTATACCATCTTTTCCGCAAGTTTATTGTTTTCTGTTCGGTATTAAATTAATAGTTAAGATCCATTTTGTTACATCTGGTGATCCGTTTATTTGGCAATCGCCAATAACAGTCAGCAGGGTTTAAGAACATCCGTTGTTCGACCTGCTGGTCAAATGCGTTTTGTTAAAATATGCTTTTTTTTTCTTTTTTAGTTTTTTGGAAAATTTTGTTTGTGCTGTATTTAGACCCCTCTACCAAGAAATTTGTTTTGTATGCACACGTATAAAAATTGCGGTTTTTATCCAACGCAATCATAGGTTTGAACGTTGTTTTCAATTTAGACTTGTTTATATTTTTTCGTTTGGGCTTATATTATATTTGCCTTCGGGTTTATATGATCCGTTCATCCTATTTCGACTCTTCAAAATTCAAGTCTATCCTAAATTGAGGTAAATTATATGGCCTTCCAAATGCCATTTCGATTCCTAACATCACTGAAGAGACATTAATTGTCGAAATCTGGATATGGTGTACTGATTTGTACACCTTTTGTTTGCAGTTTACCATCTTTTCCGCAAGTTTATTGTTTTCTGTTTAGTTTCAAATTGATAGTTAAGATTCATTTTGTTACATCTGGTGATACGTTTATTTGGCAATGGCCAATGGCAGTCAGCAGGGTTTAAGAACATCCGTTGTTCGACCTGCTAGTGAAATGCGTTTTGTTAAAATATACTTTTTTTTCACTTTTTTGTCTTTTGGAAAATGTTGTTTGTGCTGTATTTAGACCCCTCTACCAAAGAAATTTGTTTTGCATGCACACGTATAAAAATTGCGGTTTTAATGCAACGCAATCATAGGTTTGAACGTTGTTTTCAATTTAGACTTGTATATATATATATATTTATAACGCGTCTAAACATCAACCCAACAATGTTAGATATTTATCATATACTTAGAGTAAATAACTTATAATTTTTACCGTATCATAATAGCTTTAAATTTACTCGAATTCCATATTTTCCGAAATGGGGCTTAGCGTGCTGATATGAAAAATTTATCAACTGCTTCCGGCTATTATCGCATGCCTTTCCGTAAAGTTATCGCATGGCATTCCGGCGTTACTCGGCAAATTCCGGAAAATACATCTCAATGGTACGTTTTCAGTGAAAAACATAACAAAGTAGGGTACAAAACAAATATTAGGAAACAGGAAGATATATTATGTAAAATACAAAACAAATGATACAGTAAATGCATTGTTCAAAGTTTCCAGCATAATTTAGCAAGTTACTTTTTAATTACAAATGTTGACTTTTCCAAACAGTGTTCATTTTGTTTTATTGATTTGTTTGATCGTGAACATAAAAATATATTATACTGTTGTTGTTCTCCTCTGTTGAGGCATATGATAGAAAGATTTCATATCGGATGTATTACATTTGGCGTCCGTCGTCCGTAAACATTTCACTTTTTGAACTTGTGATCTGTTCAATTTTTGTAACACATGGTTTTGAAAAAAAATAAACAAACTTTTCAAGGTCGCCATTTTAGACATCGTTACCAAATAAAATATTTGCCAGTTGGTATGACTCTTATTTGATTAAAGAGTCAGATTGAATATAATACAAACGCCTTTGTCACTGGTATTATATTACGTAAAATCCCCATTGTTTTATGGGACTGTAAAGCATGTTTAGAAAAATGGTTTGTCGCGGTTAGAACAGTTTTGTCAAATTCTGTGATTATAACTTGCAATGCTAGTATGTTTATTTGTGTCCTTGACATATAAAAGTCCCCCAAGGATACATAATTGGATACTAGTGTCTTAAGAATAAACGAATTTTCCAAGTTTTCTATGTTATTGACGATATTCATTTAAATTTGTAGTGAGGCATGCAAAGATTCATCATCTCCCTACATAAGTGTTATGTGTCCGAATGACTTAAAAGTAACTTAGACCTATCGTCTGGTCCAGCCTGTGAGACCCACCGTTTGAGCAAATGTATAGATAAATTATTAAAGCCATATTTAAAACATATACATAGCTTTATAAGAGATGACCTAGATATGTTAAATCATTTACCCAATTTTGTATGTGAAGAAACTATAATACTAGTAGTATAATCTGACGGAATTAATTCATATACTAATATACCGCATGATTATGGAATAGGCGCTTTAAAATTTTGGCTTGAAAAATGTCCCGATGAACTTCCAGACAATAAACAAAAAAATCATAATTGAAGGACTGAAATTCATTCTACAGAACAACTACTTCAATTCAAAGTTTCGAAATATTAAAACGTTTGATATTTTGAATTTTTTTTTTATATAAACTAAAATTTAAAAAGTCAATAATTGAAAACTACCATAGGAGCAAAGTGAAGTTCAAATTGTTCTAAGACTTCTTGAGCTTTCATTTGGGTAAAGTGTGTGTTTTGTCGAAATTCGAAAATAATTTCGAGCTAATTTACACTTATGTTTGAGCTTCTGTTTTGTTGGTTTAATTATTGTGTTGAGAAGAAATAATTCATTGAAGCAATCCCCAGAATCATGTAGCCATAAAAATGTTCAATAGTATACTGTCTAGTTAAAATCGTAACGATGACTATTCTTGCTAAACGCGAATTACTGATCTATTGAATACGGTTGCTCTCTATGGTGTTTTGTGTAATATTTCTCCTTTCTGTCTATAAATATTAATACCAGAATTAACGAGGGTTGTTTGTACATATCAAAGAGATTGGTCGAAGTCTCAAATGGCCGGGTTGTGATTTGTTGACAAAGCAATGTTTACACTAAATCCATTGGATGTTGGATGTGTACTGATTGATATTTTAGTCTTAGATACATGAATGTTTTCATTAGTTGTTATTGGCTTTGAACTAGCTGTCAGCAACTGCGAGTACTCTCAGATCTGTACTTAGTGTCTTTTTGTTTTTGGGATGTATAAGTACCTGTCCACGTCCCCTTTGTGTTTTTGTTAGATGTATTTCTATTTGTATCCATCTGATGAGTTAAGCCTTTTTCAACTGATTTTTATAGTTTGTTCATATGTTGCACTGTTACACCACTGTCTCAGGTTAGTGGGAGTCGTTGGTTCATGTCTGTCATATTTGTTTTTCGTAAACTGTTATAAATTAGGCCGTTCGTTTTCTCAATTGAATTGTTTCATATTTTTCATGTCGGGGCCTTTTATAGCCGACCATACGGTATTGGGTTTTCTCATTGTTGAAGGCCGTATGGTTGCCTATAATTGCTTACATCCACTTCATTTGAACTTTGATAGTTGGATAGTTGTCTCATTGGCAATCATACCACATCTCCTTATTTTTATATTAAATGATTACGATGCATTTAGTTGCAAGTACACGAAGGGGAAGAATTTTTCTGAAATAATATAAAATAATAAAATAATAGAAGAACAGCAGTAAAATAACTAAGTTGCTATAAAGTCTGAAAAAATGTGGAAACAATTCTTCACACAGTTCCAAAGTGGCAGGTGCACAACTTCAATATGTGTACACTCTTTCTGTGAAGTCTTAGGGACCTAAGTTGAAAACTGTAGGATAAATAGAAAACTTGTACACTCTTTCGTAAATTTTGCATAAAAATAACTGAGTTCCCAAGTCTGAAAAAATGAGAAACAATTCCTCAAATCATTCAATAAAAGTAGATGCACAACTTCAACAGAATTATGTGCAATCGTCCTGTGAAGTTCAGGGATTACGGTGGAAAACTAGAAGAAGTTGATTACACAAAGCTTGTACCCTAGCCTCTTTCTTCAATTTTGCTGAAAAAGATGAAGCTCCCAAGTCTGGAAAATCTTGTAAATATTCCGAAAACAATTCCATAATACTAGATGCACAATTCCAACATATGTGCAATCTACTTGTGAAGTTTCAATGAGCTAGCTTTTAAACTGTAGGAGGAGTTGATTACGCAAATTAGATACCCAATTTTTCCCGTCTGCATGCAAGCCCGATATCACCATACTATTAGGCGGTTTAGGCCATCCTGGCCCAAAAAGAATAATTTGGTGGCATAAAAGGACAATTTTATAATCAATTGCATAAGAATTTTAATACTATGACTTCCATTTGATCTATTCTATTCGTCAGGATCGGTATTGTTCCGGTATTCATATTTTCATTAGAAGCCTGAAATAAAAAAGAAACATATCTGAACAAAATAGAGAAAACATATTTAAAAATCTTTCATTTACCATTTTAAATGTTAAAATTTAGATTTCGCTATGGAAAATATTTGAAAGAATCTGGCGTTGTGTTAAAATAAAAGTTTATTTGAATATACAATTTTGATTTTTGTAGTATAATTCTGGTAAAACAATGTGGTTTTTAGACTCGTGTGTAATTTTTCATGCCCTAAAGCTGTATTTTTTTTGCTAAGAATTCATGAAATAGATGTTTACATAATTATGTAGTCAATGAAATGATCATTGCGCAAAGTCTTTTAATGTTTGTATTTTGTCAAACTTGTATGACGCAGCCATCTATAAAAAAAAATAGGAAAACCATTCTCATAGAAACTAGTATGTTATGTTATTAAAAATGTTTAGTTTGACTAAACAGTTATAAAATAGTCAAATAACATTACTGAATTATCAGTGGAGGATCCAAACAAGAGGCTCTCAAGAGGCTGAATAGCTCACCTGTAATTTTTTGCTTAAATCTTTCATCAATGATTATTTTTGATTTTCAATATATATTAATGAGTGGCTTAAAACTGCCATTTAAATGTTCTTTGTATCTGTTATATTTTCTTCAAAAGCAATAAAAAATGCATTTTACCCTTATGTTCCATTTTAGCCATAGTGGCTACATTTCTTGACATACAAGGAAATAAAATACAAAATGTATACTAGATACTCTGAAACTCATTCAGTCCAAGTTTGGCTGAAATTGATTTAGCAGTTTCAAAGGCGAAGATTTTTTAAAGTAAGAAAACTAGATGAACAAATTGTGAAAAATTGTCTTTAAAGGGCAATAACTCCTTAAGGGGTCAATTGACAATTTTTGTCATATAAATACTTATTTGTAGATCTTACTTTGCTGAACATTTTTTGCTGTTTACAGTTTATCTTTATCTATAATAATATTCAAGGTAATAACCGAAAACTGCAAAATTTCTTTAAAATCATCAATTCAGGAGCAATAACCTAAAAATCAGATACCCGATTTGGCTGAAAATTTCAGAGCAGGTAGACCTTGACCTTATAAAATTGAGAATGGAAATGGGGAAATTGTCAAAGAGACAACGACCCGACCATAGAGCAGACAACAGCCGAAGGCCACCAATGGGTCTTCAATGCAGCGAGAAACTCCCGCACCCGGAGGTGTCCTTCAGCTGGCCCCTAAACAAATATGTATACTAGTTCAGTGATAATGGACGTCATACTAAACTCCAAATTATACACAGGAAACTAAAATTAAAAATGATACAAGACTAACAATAGCCAGAGGACCTAAAAAATATTTTAACCTCTTGTCTGATTTCCTCTAAATGCTTTAGTATTTGAGATATAAGCCAAAAACTGCATTTTACCCCATGTTCTATTTTTAGGTGTAATACCACCATTGATTTTCCCCTATTAGTCTTTGTTAAATTTGCACTTTTCAAAAAATTGTGCAGAATTTATCTTTGTTTCAAATAAAGAAATACTTGGCATGAGTAAAGTTTTATCCTGTCCAGTACTATAGAAAAAATTTCACATAACATTTCATTGCATATAAGAAAATAACCATCACTGGAAGTTAACCAATCAAATTTTCCCCCTTTTTTAACCTGTGTACAAGCTTTAGTAACCATGTAACCTCAAGTTTCCAAAATATTCTATAGAAACCCCAAATAAAGAAATAATGGTGCTTTGAAATACCCAAGATATATGTTTATGACTCAGAAATGTTTTACTGCAATGAAATGTAGGATCAATTACCTACAACTGTCAAATTCAAGGGAATATTTTTTTTCGACCTATTTTCGTATGCAACCGGATGTGACGTACTATGATTTGGTGGTATTACACCTAAAGAAGACTTTTTTGTTGAATAAACTGAATGTGACTTTTTTCCTTTGTAATACTGGTTATTTCAAGCATTCCTGTCAAGTTTTGTCATAATCAGTTCAATAGTTTGAGAAAAATCTAGTATAATGTAAGACGACATCTACAGCGATTCGAGCAAAATTTCTTCGAAAAATTCAAACCAAGCCGCATCATGATAGAATATAGTGTGGACCAATAAATGATCAAAATTTATCTCATCTGCCTACAAACAGTTGAATATGATACAAAAGATGACTTTAGGATGATAAATACTACTAATGGACCTCTTATTCTTCCTTATAAAGTCTCTTTTGGTCCATTTATACCTCTCATTTCCTCAAAATTTCTACTTTTTAGGCCAATAAATAAAAATTTTGGGGTAACTTTCACTCATTTATGATAGAAATGTTATTATAAATGATTAATTGAAGTATTCAAGCTGCTTGAACTATCCGTATAAAAGTTTACTGTCTCCAAGGAGGTTTCAATAAGTCCTTGCGTAAAACTTAAATTTACGCCGCGTTCCAGAGAGGGACATAAAAAACTTCTCTTTTGGTGAATAATTTGTTGTTACTGCTTTAAAAATAATTTCATTTACTTAAAACTATATATTTATTAAAGTATTTCTTAGGAAAAATTTTCTAGTATAGCAGAATATAAGAAATAAGGAGAAAAAGCTCCCCAAGACTCTAAGTATGGCTTGTTCTGTCATCTAATATTCATGGTAAAGTCCTATTTCAAGCAAATTTTCTCATAAAATGTATTTTGGAGACTCAATCCACTCAGAATATTTCATTATTTGTAATATTTCACTTAAATAGCAAGAAATTTTAACACATGAGAGTACTCACAAGGTCAAAGGTGCATGTACAGCTTCCCATATTAGGTGTAATACCACCATTGATTTTCCCCTATTAGTCTTTGTTAAATTTGCACTTTTCAAAAAATTGTGCAGAATTTATCTTTGTTTCAAATAAAGAAATACTTGGCATGAGTAAAGTTTTATCCTGTCCAGTACTATAGAAAAAATTTCACATAACATTTCATTGCATATAAGAAAATAACCATCACTGGAAGTTAACCAATCAAATTTTCCCCCTTTTTTAACCTGTGTACAAGCTTTAGTAACCATGTAACCTCAAGTTTCCAAAATATTCTATAGAAACCCCAAATAAAGAAATAATGGTGCTTTGAAATACCCAAGATATATGTTTATGACTCAGAAATGTTTTACTGCAATGAAATGTAGGATCAATTACCTACAACTGTCAAATTCAAGGGAATATTTTTTTTCGACCTATTTTCGTATGCAACCGGATGTGACGTACTATGATTTGGTGGTATTACACCTAAAGCCATGGCGGCCATGTTTTTTGACGAAACAAAAAATAAAATACAAACTTTATTCTGAATACCCTAAGGATCATTCAGCTTAAGTTTGGTTGGAATTGGTTTAGTAGTTTCAGAGGAGAAGACGAACGACGACGGACGCCAAGTGATGGCAAAAGCTCACAATTCCTTCGGAAAGGTGAGCTAATAATGGGGGTTATAGGGCGTACGCCCCCTTTGATTGGAATATATATATATTTTTAGCTTAAAATCGTCCAAAAAAAATTACCATTTTACGCAACTACGCCCCCCCCCCTTTTCCCCTTTCAAAAATTGTGGAACCGTCCCTGATTAAATTTTGAAAAGAAAACAATTTGCTGTAAAAAAAAAATGTTTGTAGACAAAGCATCTGGGCCTGTTCAAGTCTAATACCTTGGTCTGTTTTATTTTTGTTCATATTACTTGCCTTGCACTGTATTTGTTGACATCAAACTAATTTGAATAGTGATAATCCTGAGCAAAACAAAATGTAAATGTTTGGTATATTTTAAAATACGTATTTTGTTCAGTCTTCTACATCGTTTGCCATAGCTTGCTATCTTAATAGATTGATGTATTGATTTTCCCTGTACCCGATTTTATAAAGACCTCTTATACATTTTGAATGAATCAAAAACGCTACTTACAAAAGTTACTTTCACAAATGTAGGGCGCTCTAGTACTGCAAAGCATATCCTCCCACCAACCAGTTGAAGGATGGAAAAAAACACAGTTACGCTTATATCCATCTGAAGAGGCAGGTTTTGGATGGCCACTTTTAAAGTTTTTGTACGATAGTGCTGATTGATCGTATGTCCATCTGAAATCTCCTTCATAAACATCTGTTAAACCAATCCAATGATAATAACCTAAAAATGCATATCACAAGAAGATAATTAAACAGTGTGCTATACTCGTGTCATCTTTGAATTCAACAATCTTGTAAAAACCATGCCTGATTTTCTTGATTAATTGATCATGAGTAGTAGAAACGGCAATAAATCCTGGAATAAAATGTGCATTCTTTCACTTTGCTCTCGTATTGAAAGATGAATTAAAGCGAATCAGAATGAAAACAGAGAGAACTTTAAGAACTTTTGCTTATAGTATACAAAAGGTCTCCATGCATACAATCGGTATTAAAGGGATTTCAGATTAACAGGTCGGGTACTCTGAGCTTGTTCTAAATAACTGCAAGCATTTATTGATACAGTCTTATTTCATAGGTATAAATGTCTTTAATATTTACATTTTGTTACTCCACTGATTGAGATTAAAAGGGAAAAGCTTGGGATTTTATATAATTAGATTTACATCGCCACACATTCCTTTGTCTGTCTCAAGTCTGGAACATCGGCATTTGTCGTCGTATGTAAAATCTTGATGTATTTTGTTATTTTAGGAAGTTATTGTTGAAGGAAGATCTTTAATAGTTTCTGTTTACTTTATAAATAACTGTTTTAAAATGGTGACTACTTAGTATCTAAAGCTTATCGTATTGTATTGACACTTGTCCATTGTTGAATACTATAGCTTTCCCTTTAACTGTCTTTTCCTGATTTGTGTCGTTGGGTTGCTGTCTTACTCTCGTTTAAACCTTATCTCGTGTTATAACTATTCAATTTGCCGTTTTGTGTGTAAGAGGGCAGCAGTGGTACGACTGTGGGAGATAAAGCATGTGTGTAAAAACTGTATTATCGTAGCTAAAAATTATGAAAATATCGCTTTAGTCAAGCGTCACAATACCCAATCCTATGTTTGTAATTGTCCAACCGATCAAATTTCCCCGTTTGTAAAAAATTAATACGGTTGAAATTCCACTGTACTTGGTGGTTACCATTACGATTATTCTTAATTTACATTTAGTACCTAATGTGTACAATGTATATATAATAGGAAGATGTGGTATGATTGCCATTGAAACCGCTATCCATCAGAGCCCAAATGATGTTGAATTAAGCTATAGGTCAACGTACAGTCTTCAACAATGAGCCAATTATACCATATAGTCAGCTTTTGAAGGCACCAACATGACAAAATATTAAACAATTTAAAATAAAGACAATAATAGCCTGATCTATTAAAAAATACAATAAGCGAAAAACAAATATGACAGACAGTAACCAACGACAGCCACTGAATTACAGGTTCGTGACTTTGAACAAGCATATCGAATCTTGCTGGGTTAAACATGTCTGTCACAATGTGAGTACTCAATCCCCATCCCCTAACCTGAGACAGTGTCTTGCAATCTTATTAGTATTGCAGATTCACTTTAATCATAGTATGGCTTACTTCGAAACATATGACAAAATTATAAATGCCAGAAGTTATCTCAAAACTGCAGTTTTGATAGATTTGACAAGCTTTTAATATGATTCTAAAAGTGTATATAAGAAAGGACATTCTTAACCGAAACCAAAATTTATTTTTAATAAAGATCCCCGTATGTGACCTTCGGAATTAGACTTATTACCCGGTTTGTACTAACATGAGCAACACGACAGGTGCCACATGTGGAGCAGGATCTGCTTACCCTTCCGGAGCACCTAAGATCACTTCCAGTTTTTGGTGGGGTTCAAGTTGCCCAGTCTTTAGTTTTCTGTGTTGTGTTTTGTGTACTATTGTTTGTCTATTGGTCTTTTTCTTTTTTAGCCATGGTATTGTCAGTTTATTTTCGACTTATGAGTTTGAATGTCCCTTTGGTATCTTTCGCCTCTCTTTTTTTTATATTGTCTTCAGTTCAAGTTAATTCAGTTTGGTTAAATATGTCCTTCGATGTAACGTTTAACAAAGCATGTAATGTTTGCAACATTTAAAAAAAATATATCCTCAAATGCAATATGTAGCGTGTAATAACTTTCTGACTTTATTAAACTATGTAAAATTCTTGAAAAAAATGCTTTCAGATTTTGACCCAGTTAGTGAAACAGAAACGAGTAAAATTAGCCGTACCTCTTTACGTCGCTTGTTCACAAAAGTGCTTATGTTTGAGCGTTCCTGATAAAGGTAAATCTAGGAATTAGCATTTCGGACCCACCAAATTTATGAAGTGTTATTTTCTTTTTCTGGCACTGGAATAATATATCGCTAGTGGTTGACTGCTTCTCTCCTAATGTAATGAATTTAAATATTATTATGGACCTAATTTCCAACCTTTAACTTTTCTTTTTGTGTCCTATGCAGAAAAGAGCTTCGGGCTGTATAAAGTTCTAATTACACTTTTAAGCTTACCTGGCCCGAAGGGCCAAGTGAGCTTTTCTCATCACTAAGCATCCGTCGTCCGTCGTCGTTAACTTTTACAAAAATCTTCTCCTCTGAAACTACTGGGCCAAATTTAACCGAACTTAGCCACAATTATCATTGGGATATCTAGTTTAAAAAATGTGTCCGATGACCCCCGCCTGCCAACAAAAATGGCCAACATGGCTAAAAATAGAGCATAGGGGTAAAATGCAAAATTTGTCTATTATTTTGAAAACCGTTATAAATAGAGAAAATCTGACAGGAGCAAAATTGCTCACAATGTTGAGCTCTTCCAATTGTTCATATACATCAAAACTGTCAGACGACTTCTGATAGGAGTTATAATTGCCCTTGAATGACAAATTTTACCTTTTTTTTCATTTTTGTATATTATCTTGAAAATTATAACAGATAGAGAGAAACTTTAAATTGCAAAAGTTATCAGCAAGACAAGTTCTACAAATAAGTCTCACTGTCGATATCGCCAGTCGACTCCTTATTAGAGTTATTGCCCTTTGGTGAAGATTTTTACCAATTGTTTGCGTGTTTGCCTTATATCTTAAAAATTGTGATGGAAAACTTAAATAAGCAAAAATGATCAGCAAGACAAGATCTACTAACAAGTCAAATTTTGCCGATATAGTTAGTAGACTGTCACTCTTTACAGGAGTGATTGCCCTTAAATAAGGATTATTTGTACCCTCTTTTGTGTTTTGAACAAAAATTAAAGAAGATAGAAACTAAACAGAATAAATGATCAGCATTACAAGATCAACAAAACAGAGATTTTGCATGAGTTCTATTCTCGTCTTCAATGTTGGAGAATGACCTTTGTTGAATATGCACATAGACCAAAGTGAGAGACACAGGCTCTTTAGAGCCTCTAGTTTTCAATTATTAAAATATATTTGTGATTCCCTAGCCATCTGCATAAAGTTCAATTTTTCGATATCGCAATGAACAAAATTCGATTTATTTATCTAATTTTCAAAGAGCCAAATCCAATTTTCTCCCGATATTAATCTTTTTTTCTTTTTCAAAATCTTTAATTGTGATTGTTTTTTATATGTCGAATATAGTCTAATAAAACAATCTTATAACGTTGCTTAATCTGCAGGTTTTTTTGCAGTGTTTTATGGATTGAAACCGTTGTTTGTTCGTATTTTTTCTTTTAGTCAGGGTGTTCTCTGTTTTTTTCTTCACTTTCACAAATCTGAAAAGTGTCATATCTTGTGTATCGTTGCTTTTTAAACGATTATGTTTGATCAGGACACACGTTAAAGTATAATTGAACTTACCTTTTCTTACAATATTATTCACAAGCCATTTGGTTTCTGATGCGTCGTCAATTTTCACTAGGATACCTCCAATTTCACTGCAACGTCTCTGCAAAAAAGATATCATTTAAAGTATTTGAATATGTATATGTAAAAGCTAGTTTAAAGGTTTTGCAGTGAGTTTTCCAAATTAGTGACACCCGACCATTTATATTGTTTATGCTTTTGAAGATTATACAAGGTTACTTTTCATACATTCACGTTTAAAGAGAACATGGAAATTAGTATGAGGATATTACACAAATATAAACATATTTTATATTATATCGAAATATTTTAATTAAACAAAAAAAATTATACTAAAGTTTCGTAATACCGTATGAGCCCTGCTGGAGTCATACAAACAAAGAGTCATGATTTTTAAAGTCCAGTACCGCTGAAGATTAAAAGTAAAGCACTTGAGATATAAACTACTGCAATGTGTACTGCGTTTTGGGAAATTAGGGTTCATTGGGAATCTAAACAGGAAACGTTTTTTTCAAATAACCAGGTTCCTCTCTTCAATCCTCAATCGAAATTTTTTTTGAAGTTAAACTAATACAATATAATGGATAATATATTGTTTTTTTTTGGACATTTATTTGTGTTTGACTATTTAGGAATAATGTATTAGACAAAAATGTCTTAACGCAATAGTTGGTACTGCAAGGAATTTTTTTTTAAACTATTGGTGCATTAAAGTTTTCCAATATCATAAAAAGAAAGAAAAAAAGACCATTAAAATTTCAGCTAAAACAAAACGAGCTGTAGAAAAGCTTCAAAGCATTCATGTTAAACTAAAGAACGCGTTTGAGTTATTGATATCGTTTCAGTACCTCAGCTGTAACCCAGTTTACAAAATCTGTTCCAAAGAAATAACAATGACCGTTGTACTTTCTCCATTGTCTTTCTGGAATATGAAACAAATGACTTAAAAGTTCCTACCAAGAGTACCTATTATGATACATATTTCATTAATTTATATAATTCGTGAGCATTTGCCCTTTAATTTTGACAATTGCCTGACCTGCTAAATACCATTATGTTTCTTACAATAAGTTTATGTGAAACTGACAACATAAAAATGATGCTTGACATGTTTCATTGATGGGGTTTTCTATTAGACAGTGTGCATTCTAATTGGAATCAATTATCTTCCTCTGCTCTATGACCTGTTCCTTCATTCGTATTAGTAACTTTATTAGATTTGTGTCTTAATAGAAGCTACCACTTTCATTCAATATCACTTTCCTCTTTAAAGATGATGTTTCCTTACTCAAGAACTCTGCGCTTGGTGATTATGTTGAAGACATCTATCCTAATGAACATGAAATAATGGTTACTACAGACACATATTGAGGTCTGCTTCCCTAGAAATTGATAGTGCATGATTATAAATTTACGACAAAAAAGATTACCTCAATTTTCCCATTGTAAACTTTTGATTTTCATAAAACAACATTCGAAAACATATGACTCTGTACCGGATTTTACTTGTCATGAGCAACATGACGAGCAGCACTAGTGGCACACCTAAGTTCCTTCTTCCCCTGTTTGCCCCGTTTTCTTTAAAGTGTCCATATTGTTCATGAATGTTTATTTTTCTGTGTAGTGTTTTATGGGCCGTCATTTATACTTTTGGCCATCTAGTTTTTTGTCTTTTCAGTTTTTGGTGTATTTTTACCTTTTTTTTTTTTAGAAAAACCTTACTTTAGAATTTGAAAACAAATATATACATAAACTGAATAAAATAATGCCTGTTAGAAAAATCGGATGACAGCACATCGACAACACAATTATAGCAGACTTTGATACCAATAAATACAGTAAAGTAGAAACATACGAAATGATATAAACTCTAAAATTCCCGTTTTTTGTCTTTCATTATTAATTCTAAGCTGAATTTAAAAACATGCAAATGGTTAATATAGTGGACAAACCGATGACGCGAGAACAATATAAAAGTAACTCTTTTTATGAAAAGTCAATAAAATCAATAGTTAAACAATGTCGGTGACCTCATTATTTTCCACATAAAAGTCAAAATTTATAAACTATTGCTATAATTGTAATATCATATGGAAATTTATAAGAACAAGAACACATAAAATAAGCGAAAGAATCTAAACTATCACAATCACAAATATCAGAATATTCACAACAACAAATAATATTTAGTAAAGGGGGGTCCATTTCTCAAGCGACTGTGACATGTATACAAAAATATTGAATGTTGGAGAAACATGCACACATCAAATAATGTCTGTGATCTTGGTCTCGTCGATACAGAACACGAAGTGTTTGAAATTGCAATACCAGTGGTCGTATTTCTATAATAATTGTTACTAATATACTACAAAATGTATACTAAAATTGATCACTCAATGTGGTCCTGCAGCTCAATAGATTCTTTTATATATCGGTATAGGGTTAAGATGATTTTTCACGAGTGATATTTTTTTTATATTTTTTAAATGTCAATACAGCGCAAAGAAATTCATAAATGGGATTGATATTAAATGAGAAGATGTGGTATGATTGCCAATGAGACAACTCTTCACCAGAGAGCAAAATAACATAGAAGTCTGCAACTATAGGTCAGAAGATTATTTACTGTTTTGCGCAGCGTGGCCTATATATATATACAATAATACAAAAATATTTGAAAATGTATTTGAAGTACAATTTTTTTTAAATTGTGACTAAAACTATGTACATAGGCTAATAATAAATTAAATGAATTTGTGGAGAACAGCTGGTGTGAGCTGTTCTCTGAAAGTGTCGACTGTAGTGATAGCGACCGTATGGATTGGCAATAAGTTCCACTGAGTTATGGTATATGGAAAAAAATTATATTTATATGTATCATTTTTGGTTGAAATGTGTCTGAAAGTGAAATTATGATTTTTGCGGGTTCTACTGTCTGATGGTATGAGAATAGCAGATGGGATTGCTACGATTTGATGGACTATTTTGTAGAACATTACCAATCTTGTGCGTAGTCTTCTTTCTTGTAGTGTTGGCCAGTTTATTGAGTTTATCATGTCTGTAGGAATACTGATGTTATGGTACCTGTTACAGACATATCAGGCAGCTCGTCTTTGGACCATCTCGATTTTAGAAGTTTGTTCAATTGTGTGAGGGTCCTATACTGAACTTGGATATTCCAGTTTTGGTCGAACCAGCGCCAGATATGCCTGAGTTTTGATGTTCTGACATGGTGTTTTTAAGTTTCTTTTTAGGAAGCCTAAAGATTTGTTGCCATTAGCTATGATGTGGTCTGTATGTTTTGACCATTTTAAGTTTGCTTGTAGTGTAATACCCAGATATTGACTGAAGAAACCAGTTTTATTTTTACTGTGTTCTACACACGCGTCAATACACGTTTTATTTTTCTATATCTCAATGTATGTAATGCACAGGAACGGAATGAACAAATAATAATAATCTATCCAGTGAATGATCAATTTATCTATCTGTCTACATGTATTACTATGCAAAATTGAGCTACCAACATTACCTTCTAAGGTAATAAAAAATACAAATTAAAAATCTTGATTCATATATCTTAATTAATGCAAATAAATTTTACAACTTTGAAATTATCTGTTTTCCTTATACATATTGCACATCATGGCCAGTAAACAGAATTTGAACGTAAAAATTGTCAACAGTTGTGTTAACGAAAATTACACCACGGTCCACCATTTTGATTTGTAATATCTTTCCTCTATAATTTGTACATTTTGTGAATATTTATACAATAAGTCTTTGTAATTCAATTGTCATGCAGTTTCCTTTTTAAATGGATAAAAATAGTTTTCAGTACGGTTCTGATATCTTGACTATTTAACGAAAAACTCACTTTTAAAATCATCTTCCATCGTAATCAGATCTTTATCAAGTTGTTTAACTTTGCTGTTTATTGTGTTGACTTGTCCCTGGAGTGTACTAACTGTGTTGGACAAATAACTTTCTAGATTCTTTAATGCACTCCTTGTTTTATCAAAATCTTTCTTAGAATCGTTGGTAAGACAAGGTAAACCAAGCACAACATCAAACAGACCGAGCAGAGAGATCAGCAATATTGTACTCATTGTTTCCTGGAGTATTATAATTCGTTCAGTTTATAAAAGCGTATAGAAGGAGAAAAGGCACATGGAGCATTTATAAAGACACTATAAAACAAATACAGTAATTCATTGACAAGCATTCTTAGTTTTTTGCATCAGCAATCTCTAAAACTCATATTTAAGTCGGATCTTAAATGTCTACGTGTCTTAAATTAAGATTTTTACATTAGACTCCAAACGGTCGACTTGGAGATTTAATACCGCATCAAATATTTGTTCTGTTAATAATACTTTGCGTCAACTTATTTTGCCATGTTGAATTTGTATTTAAAATTTTTCACATAACAAATTAATCTCATTCAAATATCGTCTATTTGTCGAAAGTTATTTACATGCCAATTGATTAAGTTTAGAGTATTTATCACTTTTTATTGCAGTTTTGGTCCATCGCAGTCTGTTGATCATTAACTTTACGAAAATGTTCTCCTTTGAAATTGCAGCGCCATTTTGGAACAAAAACTGTCAATGTCCCTAGCCGATGCACATATTTTATCGGTCCAAGGTCGACAACTCCAATTAAAACAATGCATTATTAGGACCAGACCCTGTTGTGTACTAGAACGACACACTGAGCCATATTGTTCTGAATCCGGGCCGAACATCTTACTCATATGTGACCAGCCATGACATTTCTAGGCTTATGGAGGTAGATTTAAAACTATTTTAACGTTACGTTACATTATGTATGGAGACATACAAGTTTATTCCTATAATGTATTTAGAGTCTGGGTACTTTTAAAAATCAAATATAAAATATCATTTTAAGTTTTTCGTTAAAATATGAGAATTAATCGTATTATTCGGCAACATATATGCAACGTTGTTGGCATAGAATCAACAAATACCATTTTAAAATCCTATGGTTTGACCAAGGCGGGGATCGAACCCATTACCTTTCGCACCCGAGGCGTGCAAGCGTAAAAAATGCAGGCTTGAGATCGTTTACAATGTTGTTTTCCCCATATAATTTTTATTTCCAAGGGGTCGAACTCCTGTAAAAATAGTTGATAGGCGCTGATTTTACACATTTTATAAAAATCCGACAAGACATGTAAGTGTCAGAGTGCTTACCATGCAATTTTTGATATATGTTATATTTCAAAGGGACATTATTCCTGTATAATTAGTTGATCAAAAGTAAGTTTTAAACTCATCATGAGAAAATCTGACTGGGACAAACATGTTCAGAATGTCAAGATCTACCTACTGAACCAAATTGTCAGACGAATCCATGTAGGCGTAATTGCATTTGAATGATTATTAACCATTTTTAGTAATTTGGTTAAAAAAAATCTTGAAAAGTATAATAGATAGATAGAAACGATAAGTAGCACAAATAGATCAAAGTCTCAAATGGCCCGATTACGCAGATTGTTTCTTAAACAGAAGAAAATGGTTTATGCTGAACATTAAAATATAAAATAAGAAAATGGGAAAATCTTTAAACTGCTCCTAATGGAAGGTGCACAACCACAACATATTTTTAGCTCGTAGTGGAGTTCCAGCGATCTTGGATAAAAACGAAAAATTTTACCACCCATTAAAAATGTTTGCTGAAAAAGTACCCAAGTAGGCAAAAAAAATGCACTCAATAATTATGTTAATAAAAGATAAATACCAAAAAATCCACTTTCAAATAAATAATAATTTAATTGTACATGATATTTCTATATAAATACATGCATGTGCTAGAGAGCTACTTGGTATTCATTTGACCATTTTATCAACTGCCTATATTAACATAGCATATACAATTTATTGAAATGTATTTTTCCTCAAATTGGACTTATTAATGTGAATACAATCATGGAAATTTTTAACAATCCCACAAATTTATTATGAAAATATATCCCTATGCAAACATTTTTTTTTTAATTCCAAATTGATAACGCCTAGTATAAAAAAATACTATTATGTCTTTTAAACCTTGAAATTATCCACTGAAATACAATTCAAACTGGCATTTTAACTGAGTTTAATGTGAAATCACAAAACAAACAAAAATCTTAGATATTGAAAATGTAGTATCTTTTTTAAGTACAATCACAATCATAGACCACAACGAGGGTTGGTCAATGGCCGAAAGACTTGCTCGGGAAAGGTTTTGGATAAGAAAGCTAAGGACAATTTCCCCAGAGGGCATAAATGAAAAAACATAGAATGAGTCACTCATTTTCCCTACCATCACTCATTTTCCTGACATCATTTGTTTCCAGTTACTCCGGCTTCCTTACTTGACTCTTACAGTTTTAAGGATTCTTTTGGAATTTTTTGAATTTTACTAGTTTAAATACCAGGGTTCTTTTCATTTGGTAGGGATGTACAAGTACGCATCCACGTCCAATTATTTAACCTTAGCCCAAATTTACTATTATATTTTCTTTTCATTATAAAACTGCTATTTATTTGAGATGATAAATACGCAGCCTCTGTTTGACATATTTTACCAGCTTATATCGATCAGTGCTGTTTTTTTTTTGTGGGAATGTATTTACACGCAGTTGTTGTAACATCTTAACTGACGTCATTTTGGAATTCTAGAGTTGTGCCAGTTCATATCTCTAATTACTATTTTCATTTTAGGCATGTCTTTGAGTCGTTTTTTTGGAATTTTTAAAAAGTTATTAGCGTCTCTACATATGATGTTCGGGTGAAACTGTTTCACTTTTTTTATTGTATAGAATTCAAGATTGCTATAGTTAAATAATCAGAACAGATTGATCTGATTCATTTTACATCAAGCTCATACTGATGAAGGATATCTGTTATTCGAAATATTTATAGTTACATTTGTTCGTTTATTGTCATTTTTTGGTGATGTTGTACCCTTTTAGACTGGTTATATATTATATTTTGTAGTGTACTGTATCATATTTATATGATCCATCGCCCCGTAAGATTTATCGTTGACTATTATTCAGTCATTTTATATATATATAGTCAAATGCGTTTTGTTAAAATATACTTTTTCATTTTTTGGTTTTTTGGAAAATGTTGTTTGTGCTGTATTTAGACCCCTCTACCAAGAAATTTGTTTTACATGCACACGTATAAAAATTGCGGTTTTTATCCAACGTAATATCATAGGTTTGAACGTTGTTTTCAATTTAGACTTGTATATATTTTTTCGTTTGGGCTTGTATTATACATGTATTTGCCTTCGGGTTTATATGATTCGTTCATCCTATTTCGACTCTTCAAAATTCAAGAGTCTATCCAAAAATGAGGTAAACTATATGGCCTTCCAAATACGGTTTCTATTCCTAACATCACTGAAGAGACATTAATTGTCGAAATCCGGATATGGTGTACTAATGTTTGTACCTTTTGTTTGCGGTATACCATCTTTTCCGCAAGTTTATTGTTTTCTGTTTGGTATTAAATTAATAATTAGATCCATTTTCTTACATCTGGTGATCCGTTTTTTTGGCAATAGCCAATGGCAGTCAGCAGGGTTTAAGAACATCCGTTGTTCGACCTGCTAGTCAAATGCGTTTTGTTAAAATATACTTTTCCGCTTTTTTGGTCTTTTGGAAAATGTTGTTTGTGCTGTATTTAGACCCCTCTTCCAAGAAATTTGTTTTGCATGCACACGTATAAAGATTGCAGTTTTTATCCAACGCAATCATAGGTTTGGACGTTGTTTTCAATTTAGACTTGTTTATATATATATGTTTGTGCTGTATTTAGACCCCTCTACCAAGAAATTTGTTTTGCATGCACACGTATAAAAATTGCGGTTTTTATCCAACGCAATCATAGGATAGAATGTTGCTTTCAATTTAGACTTGTTTATATATATATATATATATATATATATATATATATATATATATATATATATATATAGGTTATATATATATATAAACAAGTCTAAATTGAAAACAACGTTCAAACCTATGATTGCGTTGGATAAAAACCGCAATTTTTATACGTGTGCATGCAAAACAAATTTCTTGTTAGAGGGGTCTAAATACAAAACAAACAACATTTTCCAAAAGACCAAAAAAGTGGAAAAGTATATTTTAACAAAACGCATTTGACTAACAGGTCGAACAACAAATGTTCTTAAACCCTGCTGACAGCCATTGGCGATTGCCAAATAAACGGATCACCGATAAAATAAATGGATCTTAATTATAAATTTAATACTAAACAGAAAACAATAAACTTGCGGAAAAGATGGTATACCGCAAACAAAAGGTGCAAAGTTTTTTGTACACCATATCCGGATTTCGACAATTAATGTCTCTTCAGTGATGTTAGGAATCGAAACGGTATTTGGAAAGCCATACAATTTACTTCAATTTAGAATAGACTCTTGAATTTTGAAAGAGTCAAAATAGGATGAACGGATCATATAAACCCGAAGGCAAATATAATACAAGCCCAAACGAAAAAAATATAAACAAGTCTAAATTGAAAACAACGTTCAAACCTATGATTGCGTTGGATAGAAACCGCAATTTTTATATGTGTGCATGCAAAACAAATTTCTTGTTAGAGGGGTCTAAATACAAAACAAACAACATTTTCCAAAAGACCAAAAAAGTGAAAAAGTATATTTTAACAAAACGCATTTGACTAACAGGTCGAACAACAAATGTTCTTAAACCCTGCTGACTGCCATTGGCGATTGCCAAATAACGGATCACCGATAAAATCAATGGATCTTAATTATAAATTTAATACTAAACAGAAAACAATAAACTTTCGGAAAAGATGGTATACCGCAAACAAAAGGTGCAAAGGTTTTTGTACACCATATCCGGATTTCGACAATTAATGTCTCTTCAGTGATGTTAGGAATCGAAACGGTATTTGGAAAGCCATACAATTTACCTCAATTTAGGATAGACTCTTGAATTTTGAAAGAGTCAAAATAGGATGAACGGATCATATAAACCCGAAGGCAAATATAATACAAGCCCAAACGAAAAAATATAAACAAGTCTAAATTGAAAACAACG